TAAGCCAGCACGCTGGCTGCCATTGTCCAGATGGCAAAGCCAGCACGATGGCTGCCATCATAGTTGAAGTGGGCATGAGCCAGCACGCTGGCTGCCATCGTAGTGGAGTGGGAAAGCCAGTGAGCTGATTCCCAGAATCTAGATGGCAAAGCCAGCGCGCTGGCTGCCATATTATCCTTATATAGATGTATATATATGCTCTTTGGAGCAAAAGCTCTTTGGCTCGGCTGAGGCGCAAAAAGCGCATCTTGGCTAAGGCGTCCTGCCGAAGAAACGTAACCAGGGCACTACTACTAGTAATAAGAACGCTACTAGGGGCTCCTGGCCGTACGACTAGGAACAAGACGCTATTAGGGGCTCCTGGCATCGCTACTATAGGAGCAAAGATGCTACTAGGGCCATCGCTATGAGGGTTCGCCAGCTATAGATGTATATATGTATGTACAGATAGGTGGCAAAGCCAGCATAAAGCAGATGTTTATGAAATCCTTTCGCGGGTCTTTGTTTCTCACTGTAGATCTTAGGCAGGTTTCGTTTCGTGTTCGTTGTGTGTTTTGAGGTTAGAGCATCGAGTCCCTGGCGCGATGCGCGCGGTGGCTCAAGCAGAGAGACCGCAGCAATTTCCAAGTGAGTTCGCGTAAGTCTCCACAGACTGTAGCCGGGAACGTGCAGCAAGGCAAGAGCCGTGAAGAATGTACTTGCAAGACGTTTCGACACACCTCATAGGCTTCTCGTCAAGAGACGTGCGGACCATGGCCACTCTGCAGGACGCAGTTCTGCGAAACGCGGAGGCAGCGGGGCAGCAGGAGCAAGAGGCGCAGCGCCTGCGAGACGGACACCGGGAGGGAGGCGCGGCATGGTTGCGGACCGAGTTGGAGGCCAAGAACTACACCGACTTGCGACGGCTGTGCGCTGAGTTGGGACTGCCGCAGAAGCGCGACGGCAGCAGCCTTCGGAAGGAGCAGCTGCTGGAAGCCATAATGGATTGCTTCTCATCGCAGGAGGGATGGAGTCAGGGTATGGGCGTAGAGCGGTGTTGAACTTTGCGCACAAGCTGTTTGTGTTGCAGTAGGTGTCGGGTAGACTCGACGGTGGAAAGCTGCGCTTTGCGGGAAGGGTAGTGTTCGGGGATGGGTGTCTGCTTTTGGTATCCAAGCAAAATCCCTGACAGGAACCGGCGCATCCGAACATGGAGGACGGTTTCGTGATTTGTAGCTGTATTCGAGTAAGGAAAAGATATCTAGATATAAGACTTTCAATCTTTGTTCAGATACCCAACAATCTTTGTTAAGATACCCAAATTGTGTTAGGGGATGGGTGCAGTGTACAGTTCAACTTAGTTGAGACGCTGTTTTCTTGTG